TAAGCCTGGACGTGAAGGATGGAGGAGAGGATAGTGCTTTATAAAGCACTATCCTCTCCTCCATCCTGCATCCTGCTTTATCTGTCTACATTATTAGAATTTTCACCGTAGTCTCTTTATTGCAGTTATCCCATTGTCTGTTTTACGCCGCGATAATGGGAACCCTGAACCAGGCACCCTCCATCTGCACCAGCAGACTGCCCTGTCCGACCTGCTTTGTGGGCTGTAGGGCTATAGTCCTACATGTATAGCCCGTATATATTTGAACGAGGACAGGTGCGGTGCAGAACTGGAGCAGCTCCCAGGCGGGGATGGGGTATATATCTGTATATACTGTACAGTATAGACAGCCGTTGTTACATACACAACTACTAAATCCATACAATTGTGGACAAGTCAGCATTCAAAACCTGAAGTGACACGGAAATGATTCAAAAGACAAAAAACAATCTTATATTTATGTTTGGAAAAAAACATTTTGTTACAGACCTGATTGGCTGATGGGCCTTCTCATCTGTAGACAAGTAAAAGTTATTTTTTCCTGTAACAAAGCAGAGGCTATAGATTCATGCTTTTTCTCTAATATAATTTGCCTGTTCCACATTCACAGATCAAAAGGTTTGCAGCATATTGTGAATAATGCATTAACAGCAGGCTGCAGGAAAATTGCTGCTAAACAACATAAACTTGTAAATGTTTGTGAATAATTAGAAGACAAAACGCTTCTTCCTCAAGTCTGGTGTAAAAACCGAGTGTTTAAATCTTCGTGTCGTCTCCTGCACAAGATAAATGTGCACACAGCCGATTCCAGTCGCTGCTTTCCTCTCCATAAATCTGAGTCTCTCTGCCGACTCCACAGCGCAGATAAAAAATGTGTAGTATGAGGGACACATGGGTGATTCTGAGTGTGTTGTCTCTGGAAGTTAGTCATGAGGATATAAGGATTTTTTTTAAATGCTATTCTGTTTATTTCTGTTCTGATTGCAGACTCGGTCACCTAGCCCAGAAAAAGCCAGAATATACAGTACACAGGGGAGCTCGGAGAAAAGCTGCTGCTCCTCTTCAGAATTGGTTGAGATGGAGGAAGTGTGTGTGATAAAGACGTTTGGGAGTAGACAGATACGGATGGATGAATTAATTTAGTTTTCCTTTATAACATTTTCACTTTTCTCATCACTGACTTTGAAACTGAACTCATAAAATTGTATTATAATCATCTCCAAAAGTCAGTGCTAAAATCCAAGTTTAAAGTTTCTGTTCTGAGGGAATTTTCCTTCTACGGTTCTTATTTTGTGTACATTATACATTGATGTCCTTGATTTAAAGTTACAGGAGTCCTACTTCATTACCTCTTTTCACTCGTATGGTTGTGTAGCGCTGAAGTCCGTGGCTCCAGTTTGGTCCTGTAATCACGGCTCCACGCTGCACTGCACTGGACGCAGAACAAGGCAAAAGTTGTTTTTAAATCTAAATATAACCAAGAGATTGATTGTCGGAGTGAAGCGATCAAATGTGCACATGCACTAATGACAGACTATAGCCTCACAAAACTATTACATCTTACTACAAGCATTCACATTCTCTAGTTTAAGGTTTGGACCAACGCCACATTTACAATATAGCACTATGCAGAAATGAGAATGGTCGAAGCCAGTTTTATTTGTTGGTTGGACTGTGGTGGGGTGAGGAGTCTGGACTTGGTGACTGTTCAAAGGGAAAAGCAATTAATTTGTAATCAGAGAGGATTGTATAGAAGTTGACTATAAAAAGAAACTTCCAGATAATAGTTATTGGGATATAATAGTGGCATGTGTGCCACTATTTCATACAATATAAAGTATGCAGGCATTCTTTAATTTAGAAGGTGAATTTCCTTACACAGAGAGATTCCATATTTTTTACCCCTGCCAAAGAGCATTGTGATCACCTCTTTGTGTGCATTTATCTATTCAGATATCGGGATGATCACTGGCCTTGGCGGGGTATGCACCTTGAACTTCACTATTGAACATAACAAATATTTTCTATAATAGTAGAACAAATACGACAATAGCGTCTACCTAGAATGATAGACTTGTCTTTGGGGTTGTCTTATTTTATTTGTTTGTATGTCTGCGCTCGTCTGCATATGTCTGTATTCTCACCAAGAGTATACTAATGATAGGCTTATATCTGTGATCTAAGATAATGTGATTTTTAGAGATGTGGTGAAGTATACAGAAGGTATCTAGGACTAACAATATTACCCAATTTCAACAAGAAAAACATGGGACCGAAGCGAAAACGGCACAGAAGGGAATCAAATTATGTTTAATGTTTGAAATGATTGAAATAGAGAAAATAGTCATACAGTGCAAACTGTCATTACTGAAATTATCCAAATTAGTTTGCATATTTTTGATTAGTAAGTGAGTTCATCAGAGCCTTTCTACCACATGACCATTTACATTATCCTTTAAACATTTCCCCAACAAATACTAACAAATTATGACATAATGACGTCTTGACATTCACATTTTTGACACAACCCAAAGCCATCGTCCCATGTTCAATTCCACAGCCTCCTTAAAATGAACCCTTTAAAATGACAATCAGGTTGCAAATACAACACATTGGACCCAACTGAACTAACTCAAACTAACTTCTGGTCAAATACCCTACTCTTCCTCTGCTCAATGACAGCTCAGGCTGGTTGAGGCTTGTTAGTGGATTTGCGGGGGATACTGTGGCATATTGCAGGTTGAATGGGGACACAATGGGGTGACGCAGTGGGGTGCTTGACCTCAGATGCAGTGACCCAGAGAGAGCTCCATGTCTCTGTATGGACCTGTCCCACTCTGTCCCAAATACCAGCCAGTCTCCTGCCAGCAAACAGCAGGGTCCACAGTCCAAAACAACAGCCTGCTAAAGAACATATGCAGATTTTTTTGTGTCATGATTTTGACAAGTCTGTGTGGGTTGAAGCTGGGGTACCTAACTTTTTCTAAATGTCTTAAATAATACATGCTTGTCCCATTGATAAATCCTGTTTTGAAGAAGTCAAAATGTGCTTATATTTTGAAACACTTTTGCTATATTTGAAAAATATCAGTTTTTGCAGTGTAAATATAAAAAAAAAAAAAAAATCTGTTTTATTCATGGGACACATGAGGGATTTTATTACATGAAAACATGAAAAGGCCAATCAACTCTCAGTCCAAAGTGTCAAGTAGTGATTTTGAAGGCTCTTTATCATAATTTAGCAAATTATATCATAACTTTTGCAAGACTTTTTCTATTGTGACGAACATTCAATCAATATCTTATTAAATACAGTCCCCAGCCATTGCATTACCCTGTCCCAAGCCTGGATTTAGGAGGAAAATACTAATCATTTATCAATCTACTAACCCTAACCCATATATATTTTTAGTTTTTCTCAGTCTTTAGTTTTATTTGCATTCAAAGCTTGTGGTCAGACAGAGTGAATCACTGTCTTTTTTAAGCTCCCATTTAGCCTTTGCTCTTTCATTATATTGTGTTTGAATGCGAGACAAAGTGGCTATAATTTCCACTGCTTTACAGTGAGTGTAGCCCCATTCATGTGGTCAACCCTTTAGATCGCTGCTCTGAACCAAAGCTGCCTGTCTGCTAAATATTTACCCAACATGTACTTTACCCACTGTTCACGGTATCTGGGTGTTTTTTTACAAAGACGAGCAGACGTGAGATGACAAGAAGAGCGATTACATTTGATAAATTATGTCTAAATGTTTGTGGAGTGAGACGCTGTTTGGTGGAGACGGGCCAGACACAGTCACACTGTGATGGAAGGGTGGATTTTATTTACAGATGCGCAGACAGGGGCAAATTGAAAGATAAACACAGGTTTATGGGGGAAATGGGGTCAATGTGGTTTTTCAATGTCTCAACTTGAATGATATGCTTAAGTGAAGAGATCACCAGCTGTTTACTTCACCTTGGATTATTATGGGTTACTGTAGCAAGACCAGCATGCAAGGCAACTTCATTTGTCTTACAGTTCATACACAAGGAAACTCAAAATCCCTTAAAAAGAGTCACTACAATCCTTCAATATTAAACGTAGTTCAGAAACGGTTCAGAAACGGTTCAGACATGGGTCAGAAACGGGCGGTTATATCTAGGCGTGACTTTCATAAATACGCTAGTTTTGAGCGTGGCTGCGTACGCTCTGATCTGTGTGGATCTCACACGTTCATAAATCCCGCATTGGATCTTGCGTTTTTGGAATCTACACAAAAAATATACACAATTTTCTGTAAGTTTCATAAAGGAGGGCCACTATCTCTAAATTATTACTATAAATCTGACCTACCAGAAAAGGTTTTTCAGCTTCCTTACACCACAAGGTTGAAATATAGGCTCTCTGGAATGCTGTGTTATAGGTTACACTAATTTAGGTTGATATTAAAATCAGTCTGCAGAGTGAACTTGTTCACAATTAGTTAAATGTATCTTAATTTGAGCACATTTTGACTGCCTTGAAACGATTTGTCAATAGGACAAGAACAATGATATTTTTTAAAGGTGCATTGCGTAAGTTGAAAAATGCCAAAACGCAATATTTTGCATCTGTGATTCATCAGCAGTTGCCTGGTGTGTAAACTGAGCATTAGCAGATTCACTGTGGTTGCTTCAGTGAGCGCATACAGTGATTGAGAAATCCCAGACTCGGGTCGCTTTCTCGCGCGCTGTTTAAGCGGAAGTGACGCAATGCGCGTGCCCGTTCAATGTTTTGGCTCCATATGTTCCCTCGCGTTCAGTGGATCTGTCCCGTCCTCGTATCACGCGTATTTGACGATGGATCCAGCAGTTTCTTGACCAGAAAGACCAGCTTCAGAATCACCGTCTGGAAGATTGTCACTAGTGCTACGAAAAGAACGAAGCGAGAGGCCGACCGGCGGAGAGCTCAGACCCGAGTCGCTCTCGGCCATGCCTTTGAGAAATGGAGAAGCCTCCGAAACGCTCTGGGGATAAAAATGGATCCTCATTTGGCGTTTATCTTGATTAGAAGGTAAGACGGTGATTCAGTTCTAAACGTCCTAGTGTCTTGCACGAATACAAAGTGAAATAGCATTATTATGTGTTAGCTTTTTGACTTAGCAACATAGACTGATTGCATTTGGTTCGGTTTTTTTCTGAACAGTAACAGATTGGCGAGACACATTCAGCATTTTGTTTGTTCTGTATAAAGAATGTTTAGAAATAATGACTGTTACGTTGATTAGAGCTTTTGAAACAACTTTAGCATGTGTTAGCGTAGTACAGCTGTGTACATTATTGGGCTGCTACTGTGCATGTAAACCATTATGAAACTTGCACATGCAGTGATTATGTACCTCAGTACCTGTACTATATGTACCTCAGTACCTGTACTATATGTATCGTAGAATTGCAGACTATATTAGTAATAGAATGTGGTTAGTCCAACTGTAATACAATGAAATGCATGTGTGTATAGGTAACGTGTATTTATTTACTTTACAGCTATGAAAAAATGATGGCACCAAGGAGTCCCAAGGCCTCAACTCCTAAAACCACTACTGCGACTGGTGATTTCCCGAGTTCAATCGGTATCGTAGAATCTGACCGGTACTTTTTTAACAGAGAAATAGGATTGGCATTATGTTTGATTCAAGCCTTATTGACAATATCACTGAAACAAACTTGCATTTTTTAACAGGGATGACTTATCTGTGGCAGGGGTGCAGCCTTTTATAGAGGTAAGTAATGTGTTAAAGGACTCTCTTTGTCATATTTGCAGTCACTATAAGTACTATATCTGTTACAGCTGACGGGAGAATGGACTCACCAGGTAAGTCTGAAGCCTTTCACTTTACAACATAGTCATTGTGTATTACTTTGTGTTTCACCATATTTGATTCAACAAGGTCATTCTGCAACGTTTTGCACATACACAACGATGGAACTTGACACTATGGACATCATCAGTGTTGTCAATGTTGATAAAAAGGCAAGTTGGTGGGAAAAGTGTCTCTCTGGAGAAAGCAGCATTCATCAAAACATTTGATGATCTATCGAAAGAATTAAAAGTCAAAGAGATTGTGACTGACGCCCATGTGCAAATTGCAGCCCTCATGCGTAAGTATTTTTGTTTGTATTATTTGATGTGCTATATTTTGTGCTTACTGCATTTTTGAGCTTTAAAATAGATCCAGAGCGGGGAAGATATATGGATCATGGAGTTACCCATTCCCTGGATGTCTGGCATGCTGCAAAAAATCTTAACTAAGAGGCTTCATGCTGTAAGTGATAGTTCATATCGTTTCTCATTCAATTATTTTTTATAGAGTTAACCAAAACCAATAACTTTGATATGCGGGTGTCCTAGCAGGTCAAAAACAAATCCTAGTGTGGATCAAGGACATTGTTAACCATTTTTGGTATGCCTGTCAGCATGCAAGCAGCCGAGACGAGTTCATGGTAAGTAAAGTAGAACTAGAATTTATATTCTCATTCTCACTATACCTTTTCATTTTCTTATGTTTGCTGATTAGGACATATGGCGAGGTGTACTGCACCATGTTAGTGGCGTGCATGAGTGGCCTTCATGGTCCTTTGGGAGATGATGGCACTAAAGAGCCTGTATCGCCTGGCTCTAAAGCACATGTGGCACTGTCACAGATCGTGCTGAACCGCAGATGGCTGAAGGATGTGGAGAAGTTCCTCACATTTCGGTAAGAGATAACCTTTTTTTTTTTGGAATGATTTGTGTTTCTTCTATTTCCTACTTAGTTTCCCTGCAGGACCACTTCACAGCTGGAATCATTCCAAAACCATATTCTGGTTTTGGAATGATTTTCATTTTTTGTTTATAAAGCAAGAACATTTCTTGCAGCTTTAGACTACAATCACCACAACAACCGTCCGGCACATGTGAACAGCAAAGGCCAAGTGTCGTAAGTATCATTCACTACTTCCTATTGACAAGTCATGAATATAGTTGTCTTCTAACGTGAAATTACTTATCTTGTAGCCTTGGAGACTGTACAGCAAAAAATTGAAACGGTATCGGGTACACACTGTCAAAGAAGCAAAGGATTACAACTACATTCCTGACCTTCAGACACAAATCATTGGCAGACGACTTCAGTCTGCTGGTGGCCTCCCAACCAGACGGAGTATCATACCGGAGGACCCACGAGCACTTGGACCAGTGTCTGGTGTTAACCCACCTCCTACTTCAGAATTGATGCGTACACAGGTCCAGAGAGGACAGGTATGTTTGTGTAACTAACCAGCTTGTTATAAAGAATAACTAATGTATAGGGCTCAACTGACCCCTTGAAGAGACATTCCAGTGTTGTATGATTCTAAGATTTAGCTTCTTCTCTCTGCCCTATTTTCCATACTGAATAATATTGATTGGATTTTTGTGTATCTTCAAGTTTTACTTTGGAATGTTACAATTTTGTGAAATGTGTCTTTTCTATGTCCCAGGAGACGACATCTGTTCCCTAACGTTGAAGAAATACAACATCACCATACTTTTTTTAAATTTTTTATATAACACAGAAAAATATTTACAAGAATTTTTACTTTTTGAAATAAAGTTATTCGAAATCGATCTTGTGTAAATGGGGCTTTTGATTTTCTTTTTCTTGCACCCTCTGCTGGAGTATCTTCCTTCTTTTTAGCACGTGTCTTCCTCCCCTTTCCTGTCTGTTTAGTCTTCTGTGCAGTCTTCCTCCCTCTTCCTCTACCCCTTCCTTGTCCTTGTCCTCGAGGTTGACTTCCAGAGTCACTGGTTGTCTCCATAGGAACAAACTCGTCATTGCTGGAGCCCTAAATGGAGTAAAATGTTATTAGGCTCTTAGATTACTATCTATTATTATTATAATCGATGGTGAAATATTGATGAAGAATTATTGGTAACTCAATAACTACATGCCTACAGTATGTGTAAATACACATACTGTAGGCATGTAGTTATTGAGTTACCAATAACTTCATCGATATAATATCTAAATCCATTGAGTTGTATATACACTTTGTTTTACTTATACAGGAATACTATTGAAGTGTGGGTATACATAAATGGCAGTTACAGGTAAGAAGTACCCAGATGTATTGTAAAAGACTCATTGTTACAGAGTGGGCAGAAGGCACAGAAGCTTCTCGGCCTTTTGGCTAAGATCAAGTGTGGCACAGGGACAATCTAACTAGCAAGCTACTGGGCTTGGACAAATCTAGCTCACTGTCAAATGTTGTGAGAAGTGAGATTTGAGAACCAGATGCGTCGTCACGTTCGAGAGCGTAAAGTGTACCGGGCGCGTGCACGGCATTGGATGCAGTTTACATAAAACGCCAAAAGGGGGCAAACTAAATGCAAAAACTCTGCCACTTACGCAATGCACCTTTAAGATGCAAAGTAATATAATCCCTGGAACGAGAAAATAAAGCAATCGTTTTTTAATTTTTCCCATTTACAAATCTTGGCAAATCTTATTTTAAGACAGTCAGAGTGTACTCACATTAAGATAAAAAATACTCAAATTCAAGTAACCTATTAACCTCATATTTGATTGTTTTTTGCAGTGCAGAAGGCTATGACATGCTCACCCAGGCGCCGCCCTGCCATCGCGACTCATTCTGCCATCTTCCAAACGTTGCATCCCTGCTCTGCACGGGCCTAAAGTCATTTGTCCAGGAATTCAGAACATGCACTCATGTCATGGTGCTAAATGCCCAAAATGAAGCGTGTGATTGGGAACGAGGGTCCTTGCTTCGTGGGGCCATTGTTCCTGGGTAATGTCCACGTGAGGAAGGTTGGATAATGGACTGAGTGACGGTTAGGACAGGCCTGGTGTGGGATGGGCAGAGGTCATGTCACCAACAGGCCTTTACGGAGCTGTGGGTTAGATAGGCAGCTTTAGTTGGGACAGATTTCCATAACAGTGTGTCCGGTGAGGGAAGAAAAGCAACACAAAAGCTATGGAAGTACAAGGTAGTGGTACTAAGAAATAGTATTATATATAAATACGGTGCCATTTTAATATTGAAATCTTTCTAAAACTGCTACACTCACATTTTGTTTTATGTATTTGATTTTGTAACAGTAATTGCTTGAATTGAATGGATTTGTTCTGAATTTGAGCACATTCTGACTGTCTTAAAAGCAAAATGGATTAAGCCATTAAGTCTCTTTTCAAGAACTGAAAGGTGAGAAAATATCTTGTTTCGTTTAATCATATCATTTTGCTTGTCTCTTTGCCAAATTGTAGCGTTTTGAAACTATAACAGATTTAGCATCATGTCCCCTTAGAATTAACACTGTTCTAGGCAAGGGAGGTTTATTTATATAAGGCAACCCAAAAGTTTTAACTTGTTCTAATTTGAACAGTGTCAGAGTAGAAGTCTCACATCTTCTGGAAAGAACTGCTCCAGATTTTAGCTGTTTCAATATGAAACACTGCTCCCCATGGTAAGTCCCGTACTATAGGAACCAGCAGAGTACAGTGCCTAGCTCCTCAAGAGTCCAAGTTGGTGCAAATAGTACTTTTGTTACAAATCAAGTTATTACTCATTGTGCTTCTATATACTATATCCAACTGTTTTGAGCAATCTAAACACTTTTTTGGGGATTGTATGAGCAAAACTGAATATTTGTTCCGCTGAGGTCACCACACACACATGCATGCACGCAAGCTTTCACACACGCACACCACACACACACATCTCACACAACACACACACACACACTCCACACACACACACACACACACACACACACACACACACACACACACACACACAACACACACACACACACAACACCACACACACACACACACACACACACACAACCATATTTACCAGACTCACTGAAACAGGTTTGAATGAGTTCTTGTATCGATTGTGTCAGCACAGTGGCACTCGAGTACCTCCTCCCAGAGTTCAACAGTTCAAATTCAGGGTACAGGACGTGTTCAACTCAGGAAGTCCCAGTGAACGCTGTTTATATAAACTAAATTCCACAGGAAATATTGATTCATAATGGATTGTTGATACTTTTGCAAACCCTTCATAGTTATTTATCAACCCATTAAGGCTTGTTGGGGCCCCGCCCAAAACATACATACGTAGACCTGTGATCACCAGACGCAACCGCCTCTCTTTTATTTGTAATTTTACTGGAAACTTACTATCAGTTCCAACAGACACACAGTATATCACATACCATATTTACTGAAATGAAAATAGTACCATATCAATAAGTAAAAAAAGTGTTTTAAGTTACAGGTTAATAAAGTTTAGCATAACCTCTGTAAAACTTAAAGCAGGTGACACTACACAGTATCTCTATAATTTCATGGACTGAATCTCAATTGTATTTTTTTCAACTGGGCTGGCTGAATTTATTAGTAATGTGAAGAGAAACTGATGAGGTGCTAATCTACACTATTAAGCTCAGAGGCAAGGATTCAAAAACGGCATCTCTATTTGAAACAAGATAACCGATTAAAAATTAACATTTGTTATTCAGCTGATGGCTCCAAGTTTTTGCTTTCTGCAGCACACCTCACAACACACCACATTGGCAGTTAGTGGTGCAGATGTCCTCACAGCTACTGATCTATATCTGGAAATTAAATATCCAAGTTATCGTGCTCTTCCTGTTTTTTTTATCCTAGCACTTACATCAACTGGTCCACAGTCAATTCACCTTTTAATATACAGACACATTGCTGTGAGTAAAAATGAATAAAGAATCCCAAAATACAGGACAAGAAAAAAATGTTATTTTATAGGAAGAAAACCAAATCCAAAAATCCTGGGGAAAACACCAAATTACCGTTCTGGGGATCTAGTAGTTTGAGAATTCTAGTGAGTCCTATGTTCAGTGATAAATGACAGTTCTTCCTAAAATGCAACAGTATGTATTGTTGAGACGTTCTTGATGATTGGCTTGGGACGCAGTGCCCCTTTAGCAAGACTCCTCATCAGGCTTAATTCCTTTATAAGTAATTCATTTCTCAGTTACTGTCCTTGCAGCAATTGAACAGACGTGGTTTCCATTTGGAGCCAATAGTTCTTTCACAACTCCCCACACAACAAACACAGCTCCACAATTATCCATTCATCAGGAGAACACCCTGCAGCTCACAGTCATGGCCCAACTGTACCTGGGTCTGATTCAGACACTGAATGTCAAAGTGATGACAGGTGACACAACTTTTTACTGAAAAGCAGAAAAAAAAAACACTAAATCAGTGTTTTTTTTAATCAGAGGGTTCAGAAATGTGACCACTGACCGTTCTGCTCTGTTTGTGTTTGTGTTGTACCAGTTATTATGATATTGTTTTAATTATGTATTTCAACCAAGTATTGTTTTCAATTATTATGTAAACGGCCCAACAAGGGACGGTACATTGAGAATTAGCTTTTTGGTCTAAAATGTTGGTCGTATGCTAACATGTCGCTTATGTGACCATACTTTGTCCCTATATCAAATAAACTCAATAAAATAAAAAAATAATAAAAAAAGGAAATAAAACAACAGTTAGTGCTTTTTTAATTCAATTTGATCTGAACATGAAAACCCAATAAATATAATCGACAACTCTGACGCAATGCTGGATAATATTATCATTGATGTATTTAGTTTTGTATTTAGAGTATTAAAATCTCTTCTAGTTCTGAAAGTCCCTAAAAGAGGTAGTTTTATAATGGAATTATTTTTAGGTTATCTTTTTTTATATTTTATTCAAGTCGATAAGGTCATTTTTATTCTCTTTGATAGACCCGTTTCATCCTGATGGTAAAGCCACCATTGGATATTCCAATAGAATTATTTCACAACCATTGAAAAGAACAATACTGCGGGCCTTCTCTAGTCAGTCAAGTCGTATGTACAAAGTTTGTACTGCTTTCAAAACTAACATCTAATTCAAAAAATATTTAAGTAAGAACAGTTTTCAATTGAATTTACTAGTTCTTGATATTACCTCAGTACACTAAAATGACAAATTGTGTTTCAAATACCTTAAAACTTTGATAATCAAAGCACAGTAGTTGGGCAGACTCCATTAATTAGACTCATAACTCAAGTCTTTGTTAGTTTGAATGTTTATAATTGGCTCATGTCAAACCCCAGGCTTGCATTTATACATTGGCTTCTCTGTATACATGAACAGTGTTACAACTTGTTTCACTTGCAGAGTTTGTCTCATAATCTAGAACATCAAACATGAATCACATGTTTCCATTGGTGAAGAACACTGGGGTAAAGATCTCACACCACAAACACAGCATATTCTGGGAAGAGTATTTGAAAACGCAAAATCTGTATTGTTGACCTAATAGCAGCAGCCCATTTTTTAACTGTATTTCCTCAACAACACACACCGTTTCCCCTCCAGTGCCAAATGCAAGATCACAAAACAAATTCGAAGTTTCACGTTTTCCCCGCCATCCTTTGTCAGAAAGTGGGTCTTGGGCGCTGGATCCATCGGATATGC